ATTTGAAAAGTCATCGTTCTCATGATATAGTCCTGCTTTGCGTGGACTGTCATGAGGTTGCTCATGCTGCGGCTGAGAAGTACAAAAGGAAAATTGCGGAGGAATTTGGTATTCCACTTTTTGTTCGAAATATTGTTGACCTGAGAGATGATCAAGTTGCATCAGAAACATGTGCAATGGTGATAAATTTTGAACAAGCTGGTATATCTCCTCTAGAATTACGAACGGCTGCAATGGCTCTAATACGCCATGGACAAAGAATGCCACAGAAGCGCCGTGAAGAATTGACACAGGTCTTGAAATCTTGTATCTCTAACTCCAGTGTTTTGACTCACAATTGAAGCGGCACATTGTTTTGCTTTTTCGTCTTTATATTCGCTGTTATCTTGGATCCAACCAAAACTAATTCTATAGATTCAGTTATAACTCATGCTGGAGCTTCAGCTGCTTCAAGTCAGAAGGCTAGTTTGATCTTTTCGGATTTTTGAAATTTCATTTTGATCTTCCAGTATCCATACATGCACAAGATTCATAGGACAATTTTCTTCATCTTTTTGACATGGAAAAACTATATGTGTGCTCTGAATAAGAAGACGCTAATGGGGACCCTCAGTTTGTATACTCTTTATCTTTCTACCACGCAGCTTTGTGTTGGGTATTCACTTTTTTCATCTGCTTTGACCTCCTACCTCCTTTTAAAGGTTTTTGCTATTAATTCGTTTGTCATGAATTTGCAGATTGTGATGAAGTTTTATGGAGGAAGAGATATATCTAATGCGGATCTGGAAAGAGCCTTGTTAGTTGGAATGAGTTCTCATGAGAGAAGACGGCTTGAGAAGAAGAGAAGGAAGTCTTTAAAACATTCCAAAAGTGGCGTTATTCCAGAGAAAGAGCAGATTGGAAGTACTGAGAAAAGGCTGATATCAAGTACAGTGAATCGATCAGAAGTTGAAACAGTTGATTTTTCATTCTCTGAAGAAGATCAGCAATATGCCAACCAAGAGATCACAGACCAAGTGGAGATAGAGGCAATCAATTCAGGGATGGAACCAGAAGCTCCTGCTCATGATAGCAACAACCAAAATGAAAACCTACAAAATGAAGGGTTAGACCTTGGTGATTCTAGAAATGATGAAACCCAGCCTATGCACAACTCCAAATTATCGCTGTTAGGACATGGACCCCATGGGAAACAAGTTGTCGATCATATACTGAAGGAATATGGGGAGGATGGCATTAGTGTCTTTTGTCAAAGATGGAGACAAGTATTTGTTGAAGCTATTAACCCTCGTTTCCTTCCTGCTGGATGGGATATAAAGCACAGGTATTCCGCCAGGCACACAGGCTATATAGATATTGTTCTTTCTTTGCAAATGGATAATCTGCTATATATCAACGATTTGATTTTCTTGGTTCTTAGATGCCTCACCCACTTTAAAGTAATGTTAGAACAAGTATTTAATAATGATTTTGTGACACATTTGATGATTACTGAATATGCTTGCATTGATCACTCTGACTCGACATGTGATTGTGGCTCCTGAAACGATTCGCGGGTCAAATACATTATTAGCCAATCAGGATTAGCTGTTTCCCTTTGGCATTGCAAGGACATGATACTGCATGTTAGATCATCTCTCTCTCTCTCTCTCTCTCTCTGTGTTTGTGTGTGAGGCTGTTTCATGGGTCTAGTTGGGCAAACTGATCTTCCCTTCGGCATTGCAAGAGCATGATATTGCGTTTTATCCATCCTCTCTCTCTCTCTTGTGCGTGTGTGTGCGTGCGTGTGGCTGTTCCATGGGTCTGACTTGGTGCACTGCTTTTGCCAGTGGTCGGAGGGACTTCGGGGAATTTAGCGTGTACAATCCAATCAAGAAGGCATTGGCAGATGCTAAGAGTTGATATCTGCTGTGGCAATGCTTTTGCCAGTGGTTGGAGGAACTTCGGTAAGAACTCTTGTCGAAGAGTGCTTGTTTCGCGGAAAATGAAAGATTTGAAAATTATTTTTATAAAAATGATCGCTTGTATTGCTTACAAAAATGAATGAATAAAAAATATTTTTATCGTTTGGGAAAATAATTAGATAAAAATTGTTGTCGATGATAAAAATATTTTTTTATTGACTAATTATTTCGAACAATACAAGCGATTATTTTTAGTAAAATATTTTCTAAATTATTTATTTTTCGCGAAACAAACGGAGCGTCAAATGTCTGTGACAGCCATAGCGGTCCTCCAAATTTTGATTAGGTCAGAAATGTTGTTTACATTATTGCACACTTTGGGGTTTTGATGAAAGACTGATATTTATTGGATCAGCTCCGGTTTACATTCAACAGCAATGTGACGGTTGCTGTAGCGCATAGTAAAATTGCAACTAGGAAGTAGCGGAGAGCATCGCTCTTTCGTTTCATAACCTCCGAAGCCTTGATAGTTTGCTCATATGGTGTTCACTCAGCTAACTGCAGAGAGGCTATGTGAGATTAATCAGAAAAGGGGAAATTACATTAATTTCAGCATATTTTATAAAATACGAAATCAATAAATAAAGTGTTTTTTTTTGGTTAAATCAATAAATAAAGTGTTTGTTAATACTAGGAACCAAAATTTAAAGTACGACTGGGATAACATTGAGATGAACACCGAACACTAGGGTACCGGCTTAACATAATTCTGTAATAATAATGTAAAGGAGAAATTATACGCAGATCTGATGCATAACTCCTTGTATTTGCCATCGATAGCCGATTCCTCGTTCATAGAACGGACTCGGTACATAGACGTATGACTACACAGACAAAAGTGTGATTTGCGGTATATCTGGTCATTCCCATCGTGACCCTTGTGCCATCAGTTGGTAAGTGGTCTTTTTTTTTCTTTTTTGGTTTCCCGGAGTAGGCTTAGGGTGCGTTTGTTTTATGAAAAACTTAATGATAAAGGAAAATGTTTTTCGGAAAATCACTTTCCAAGAGTACGCTTAGTTTTCTTTTGTTTGGTGATGCATGGTGGAAATCGTTTTTTGATGTTTGGATTTCATTGGAAAATTATTTCAATTTCATGACTTTATTTTAGGCAAAAAAAAAATTGTATCTTTTAATTTTTTTAAAATCGAATTTTTAGTTTTTTTTATTTCTATTTTTTCTTTTATTTTTTTGAAAAAAATTGATTTTTTTTAATTATTTTTCAAATTTCGTTTTTTCCTTTTTCTTTTTCTTTTCTCTTTTCTTTCCTTTTCTTTCTCCTCCTTACTCCTCCGCGAATGGCCGACGACGGCCATAGGCGAGCTCGAGCTCGCCTGCGTAGGGCGAGCCGCAACCTCGTCAGCCTCGGCCGAGCCTGGATCTAGCGAGCCGCGACCTCATCGGGATCGGCCGAGCCCAAGCTCGCCTGTATCTAGCGAGCCGCGAGCTCGCTGGCTTCGGTCGAGCCTCGAGCCTGCCGACCTCGGCGGAGCTCGGGCTCGCCTAGATCTAGTGAGCCGCGAGCTCGCCGGTCCGAGCCCGGGCTTGCCTGGATCTGGCGAGCCGCAACCTCCCCTGGATCTAGTGAGCTGTGAGCTCGCCGGTCCAAGCCCGAGCTTGCCTGGATCATTCGAGCCTTGAGCTCGCCGGTCGGCCTAGGTCTTGGTTGGTCGCTGGGTTGCCGGCCGTCGCTGAGCACGCGGCCGGCGGAGGAAGGAGGAGGGAGGAAAAGAAAGAAAAGTGAAAGAAAAAAAGAAAAAGAAAGAAGTAAAAAGAAAAGAAAAAGAAAGAAAAGAGAAGAAAATATTAAAAAAAATTCTATTTTTTAAAAATAATTAAAATTTTGATTTTTTAAAAATATTTTATAAGAATAATTTCATTAATCAAGAAAAAAAAGAAAGAAAATAAAATATAAAATATTAAAAAATTTAAGATGAATAATTTCGAAAAGTGTTTTCACCTTCTTAGATTAGAGAATTCATTAACCTAATTTTATACATGAATTTTTCCTTGACCGGAAAGTGTTTTCGGGTTGACTTATCATTTTCGGCCAATCAAACGGGTGAAAGTCCGGAAAACGGATTCTCGAAAAACACTTTTCCTCAAACAAACGGACCCTTAGGCTAAATATCTCCTCGTAACGATTCCATTGGCATCTTCCTAGTACCAGGTTACAAATTATTCTGAGTCAAGGCAGTTACTTCTGTTTTTTTGGTCGACCTGTAATCAGCAATATTGGAGAAAAATCCAAACGAAAGAAAAATAAAAAAGAGCAAGACACGAAGGGCTCAATTCCCTTAAAAAGTATCAAAAGCTCGGGTTTCAATGCTAGTCCAAAATTTTTTTTTCTCACAAAAAATAGAAAATGAGGTAAATAGTCCCTACATTTTGACTCAATGTTCAATGTCGTTCCTGAACTTATAATTTGTTCAATGCGATACCTGAACTTTTTGTACATATTTGATTTAGTCCTTATACTATATAAAATGTTCAATATTATTATTTCGTTATTTCAAGTTTAGGGATAATATTGACGATTTTCATATAATCCAGAGACTAAATTTAACATGTAAAAAAAATTTAAAGATTACAATGAACAAATTAAAAATTCAAGGACACCATTACATATTAAGTCAAACTTCAAGAACCATTGGTACAATTATTCTTATAGAAACACAAAATTTAACTTGGGTCCCGATTTTGGCCTAAAAATGTTCATTCGGTACTCAAATCTGGCGCGGTCACGCTTTTGTCCAAACTTTAATTGTGAATTGTCGAGTACACGAAGAATGGCACCTCGCATCTTTGACAGGCATTATCGAACGTAATCTTCACTGGGGCCAAATTTGGGTACTGGCTGAAATATATGCTTTTTCTTAGACAAACATTTTGGGCAAAAATTAGGAGCCGAGCCGAGCCAAAATCGGTGCCTTTTAAGGGAATTAGACCGACACAAACATATGTAAGTTCGGCAGAATAAATTAATTCAACAAAACCGGCAGTGATTATTGGGATTACAAATTCATTTGAGGGGGAGTAGGCATCTCTCTCTTTGTTGCTGTAATTCGGTTTCGTACTATCGTACATCTTTTGATACCATGAGCTCCACAACGAAACTAAAGAATCCTCTCGCAACAGTTCCCTCTAATAATCCCATAAGGGCTTTCACACGAAACTTCTTCCTTGGCAGGATGTTGCCCCACCTGACATTTCCGCCATGCACTTCTCAAGAAGCGAGGATCTGCAACAACCCAAACGGAGGAAATTGAGTCCCCTCTAGAAACTGTCAATTGTGCGAAAAGGAAAACGGAGGCGAGTGCGGCTATATAGAGCATCAGAAATTACCAGTTCGACGTTGTAGTTGCTATAGGGACAACAATTGAGACTTCTGGTCAATGCCGTTGAAGATGAACGTCCCAGACATGGGAACAAATTGTTTCGTTATGAGCTGCAACAAACAGAGAATGTAGCTTTAAAGTAAAATATAGCATAATATGACCAAAAGAAGAGGTGAATAACAGCCCCAGCTATTTGGAGCACTTGACATTGATGAATTAACCAACGATGCTAGGGTGAACAGAGATGATGATGCAACCTTGATCACTTCCTGAGACGCGACTCCTCCAATGAAAGCAGCAACAGCGTGGAGCTCTGCAGCGCCAAACCGGCACATTTCACTAATAAGATCCTCAGTCAAGGTTTGGCCATTGCAGCCCAAGTCGCTGAGAAGACCGACTGCTGTTGTCTTCAACCGAGATATATCCTCATCCATCTCGCTGCAGTGTATTCACCACACAGAGAAATGCAGAGATCAGGTAACGATTTTTGAAAAGCTTGCTGGAGGAAATTCAATATCGGCAAAACTTACCCTTCAAATTCTCCAGGAAAGCTGTTATAATTAGCAGCAAACCGGTCAACAGCTCGGAGCAGTATAGAGAACCCCACAGCAACACTGATCGACAAGAACCACAGATTGTCAGATGCTAGTCAGCTTGAAAAAATTAGTGGAAGATTGAAACAAGCCATGTGGTTGAGCCAAGACTAACATGGATCATTCAACCTGCACTAGCCAAGTCCAAGTTGATCCAGAAGATACATGACTTTTGACTTAAGCAAGTGCCCGCAAAAAGAAAAATTTAAGGCCTAATAATGGGAAAGAAAATGTATCACCCAGGGCTAAGCACAGCCCATGCTGTCAAGGATTAGTTCCAAAAGAATAAATGCCATTCCATGTGATTATTACCAGCTTCACCAATGCACTTTTCTAAACACACTGACCATTCCATGCCATAACGAAGCATCCACCACATCCCCACAAAGAAACTATAAAAACGTATTAAAGGGCAAAGCTGTAATCATGGAAAAAGATCAAGTTATTGAGCATAATTTTATGATGAATATCTTTAAAATTTCTGGTAAGAACGGCTGGACTCTTGAATTTATCTTTCAAGGACGAGGTCCATGACCGATTGATGAGCACCCCAAAAGAGTGCTTAGAAGACCTTGAACAAATTGTGAACTTCTCATTCTTTGTTGGAGGGAGGGGCTCAAGGTCTCACGATCTAGCCATGCATATGTAGCATTTGCATCTGCATATTTCGGCAGGTAAGTAATTTAAGGCATATAAGCTAAACCCTATCTTACATGTATTCTTCATCTGCTAAATACTTCTGAAGTTCTGATAGGACTGGAGAATTAAATTCATCCTCGACAAGGCGATACCTGCATACCTACAGCTGAAAAATGTTATTTCTTCTTCTTTTTCAGGAAAAAAGAGCAGAGATTTAGGAGAAGTGAAACAAAAATGAAAAAAATGGATTCTAATGATGTTACATAATTGAATCCAGGGGGGAAAATATCTGTACTAGGCAAGCAATTTTAGCTTAGATGTAGAAACTTACAACAGGAGTCAACAGAAAAACGGTTAAGGAGCACACAAGCAAACTCAGCAGCATCACTTATCTCAATGGACACCGAAGCGACTTTGATAAGCTTAACCTTACACCATTCTACTCTTAATTTGTCATTTAATGCAGTATGCCAATTTTAAGAATGAATTATATCATGTAAAAAAGAACTCACTTTGAGTTTTCGCGCACTTCTACAAAAGCTTCGAATAGTTTGTTTTGAAATCGCATTCGTCTCTCTGCCAATTTTCTTCAAATGATTCCTCACTCGTTGCTCCATAACAAGAAAGTCAGCCTCTGCCTTAGCTTGGTAGATCTTCTGCAGGTTTATATAATGTCTGCAAAAGAGAAACGATACAAAAGATATGTCACCAATTATTCTCACACAATGGTGGAGAACATAAACAGCATCATTCATTCCTAAGTCACTAACTCTGTTGAAGATGTCATATCTGGTATCGAACCCTCAAGGGGTGCCTCTCCAGCACCTTCATTTGCAATAAATTCCTGCAAAGATGAAGCAACATGATGCGTGAATCCAACTTAAGAATAAAATGTATCTTGCTGGAAAGTCAACAGTTGGCTAGAAGTTCTATGAACAGATCAGTATAAAGAGCAATTGAATTTTTTCACAAACGAGGGTAGTAGGAAATGGAACCAAATTATGAATCTGAAACTAATTCCATGGTATTCTAAACATTGTGCTTCTAATTTATGGGGTTCTATTAGGCTTCTAGCTTGTAGATCTCAAATCGTAACAACTCAAAGAGACCTGGAAAAGGAAAATATCTTTTCAGTGTCTACCCACTGAGAGATGATGCAGCATTCTCCTGGAAATGGAAGAAAGACATGCACAGGCTTAAATGAACAAATTCCTGGGTTTAAATCAAACCCTTTTCACTTCCTGTGAAATGCACTCGCAGTATACTTGTCGTTTACACAATTCAAAGACATGTCAAGTAAGATACAACAAGAGGTCCATGCAAATTACCAGTTCAGTAAAAATCTTATTCCCCCTCCCCAACCTCAATTCCCTAGCGGAATCAATGGAAAAACAAAGCAACAATGAAGGGACTGACCATCTCATTTCATTAGTGGGCAAAAAGAATAGGACCTTGGAAAATTTATGTCATTTACCAAATATAATGAGTCATTTTGAAAGAGAAAATTACTCAAATCAATTCCAAACCTATTGATGCTAATTCAATTCTAAACTTTCCAATTTTGCCAATGTAGTCCTAAACCATTTTAGAAAATTCTAATCTAATCCTTCCGGTCACTTTTTGCCCGAAATTGCTGACGTGGCATTTGGTCATCGTGGCACGGCTGGCGATATGACATGTAGACAAACTACGCCATTTTGCTTGATCTTTTGAATTTTCTTTTTTCTTTCTTTTTTATTTTTCCTTTCCTTAACTGCTCTTTCCTGGTACTGTTCACCCTCTGTGGATGAACGGTACCACCATCTTCATCTTCCTGTTACTGTTCATCTTCAAAACAAGCCGCCGACCCATCTGGACCTCAGATCGACCCAGATTCAAGGCCGACTAGCCCCCTGAATCGAGCCTTAGACCTCGTCTGTCCCCGGTGCCGCTTGTCCTCATCCTCGCCTGTCCCGTTGCCGCTCAGAGGCCATTGATCTCACCTGTCTCCCGAGACAAGCCTTGGTAGCTGTTACTTGAAGATATCTTGTCAGCAATCCTCTGGAATCCGATTCTTAATAACTTTAATTATTATTGTTTTTTTCCGATTCTGGGTGCAATACAACATGGTGTATCTCAATAGCTCAACTGTTCATTGTCTTCAACCCATGATTTCATCCTCTTCAAGATTCCTTCAAGCTGTGGAATGAAAATTGAAAGTAAATGTAACTTCTCGCTCATTGTCTTCAACTTAAGATTCCTCGTTTTTTGTCTTTTTTCCTTTTGGGGCATTTCAGGGGTTTCCTGTAATCGTGAGGAGCTGATTCAAGAGCTACCCTGAATCAAGAAAAGCATAATAATTCCATTTTGTACCCAATTTTTTCCCCTCTAATTCTACGTAAATGCTTCGCTTCATGATCTCTTTTCTTACCCTCCATGGGATTCAAGGTGGCCGAGCCGCCACGACCTCGATCCGAGGTCAACTTCCATGGCGGCTCAACCTTAGATTTGAGGTCGCTGAGCCACCATGACCTCGAAGTCGTAACCTTGACCAAGGTTGTCATCCATGGCATCTCGACCTTAGATTCGAGGTCGCCGAGCCCTCATGACCTCGATCCAAGATTGTAGAAGCCATGAACTACCTCAACCAAGGTCGTCTAGTCCTCGTCTATGGTGGCTCAACCTTCCCTCGTGAAGCTCGTAGGCTGCAAGTCTCACTCGTGAATATTTCCCTTGTCCTCACCCTTTCAGCTTCACTCATGAAGATTTCCCTTCATTTTCATAAAAGAAACAGAGAAAAGAAGAAGAAGATGAACTATAGCGTGGAAAAGGAAAAAGAAAAAAAAAACAAAAACAAAAAAATTCAGAAAATGAAGGAACACAATGTCGTTTCAATTGAGTTGTGCATGTCAAATCGCTCGCCGTGCCACGTAGGACAGTCAACAATGACTGGACCGCCACGTCAGCAATTTCCAACGGCAATTGACCAGAAAAACTACATTGGACTTTCACATAAAGGTTTAGGGCTACATTGGCAAATTGGAAAGTTTTGGATTGATTGACATCCGTACAATAAGTTTAGGACTGATTAGGTAATTTTCCCTATTGAAAAGCATCACTCCAAAAGACGCCACGACCCATCCACCAGGACCTCCAATCTAGATTGATTGGTACATAGTACTAGCTAAACCATGTCAAAGTCGAACAAACAGCAATAGATGTTACAGACAGCAATCGCGATGACTACCTTCAAAGCTGCCACCATCACCCAAAACTCTGATGAACTATGATGAAGTTCTGCAGCACTATCATCTATAATCTGCTTCAGTTCGTGACCTGGTAAAGAAACAAGGTGGACTAAGTTAGTGTTCACATGCAGCAGCTACAGCTCGATTTTATTACAAGAAAACTGCTGATAAATAATTCATGGAGCAAGCATTACTTTTCCACTCGCAAAGATCCATCCATATCTTAGGTAATGAAGATGCCATGGGAGAGCACTTGAAAATGGGAACAAGAAAGTCAGGCATCGAATAGTTAATATATATGAGGGGCCTACAGGCAAATGCAATATCCATGTGTGGAACAATGAGCTTAAGGATTTAGATGGAAAGTGAAACATATCAAAATTCATTGCGAAATAACAGCTAAGGGAATAGATCAAAGGAATACAATCACATATGCGCCTTTTGGGAGTCAAAAGAGAGCTTGTGGAAAGTTACAAACTCCTTGAAAATGAAAATGAATTTGAACGGCAAAAAGAACGTATGAAAGGTGGCTATGCCAACAGAACAAGAAAGGAGCCCTACTAACAAAAGAGAATGGATGGACGGCAAGAACCTTTTAATGAGAAATGTCGGGGATACTAAGACTGATCCACAAAATTTGTTTACGGAGTATTATGATAAAGTGCAACTATATATCTGAAAAAGTGGACCATATTCAAGAATGGACAATGCCACTTGTAAATTAACTATGTAAATTAATCTTTGTATCTCTAATATTATTGTTAAGAAGTATAGGGGTGGCATATCAACCCAGACAAAATGCATGTATAACCTTGTACGTAGGGTTCAACCGTATGAGGATTCAACAGATATCTTTGTTCAATTTCTTCCATGGATTAAATGTTTTTTAAGGCATCAATTTGCCACCAATAAAATACTAAAGGCAATTGGATCCATTAAGATCAATACAATAAGAAAAATTCTGTTCTTGATTGGATAGAAATAGAACAAAGAACTTCTACCCGGCTCCCCACAGTACCTGCAAGCAAGCCCTATTAGGAAATATTGCTGTACAGGGATATAGCTATGCATGAGGCTGTTTAACCCGTCAACCAAAAAGGTCTCGATGAATGTAACTTCTATCCTCACAATAATAATACGCTTACTTCTACAACTTACTAATTCCTCGAGGCGAAAAGACCTTGAAGGATGCCTCGATAGCTTCCTTGTAGTTGTCTTCGTCAAATGCAATCATCCTGGATTTCAGAAGCTCCTGAAATGCTCAATACCATTAATATCTCCTGTTACAGCTTATCATAAGCAAAGTAATTCGGTATAAAACATCAAAACTGAATATAAACCTTAAATTCTTTCTTCTCTTCTCTAGTTGATGGAAGCCTGCCATTGTGAGAGTCTGTCCATTCATTTGCCATCTTAACAAGAATGACAACATAAGGTATGTGCTTGTGAGCAACAGGATCTGCAGTGGTCAGTTCAATGCCTTCTGCAAACCTGACATGGTAGATTTTAGTCATAAATGACGCGCTTATCTGGATGCACTGCTTGTATGATGTATGGAAGAACAGAATGGACTATCCTTATGACACAACATGAATCAGGGCTCAGTGGAAGAAGATTTTCTAATCATCAGATTCACCAAGTCACTTGATACATTTTGACACTTATGAAACCAAAGAATCATGCATCTTCGGGAAATAAATGCAAACCTCTTCAATTCTGGCCATGGATTATTTAAACGAAGGTCATCCAGGAAATGATCTGGCTTTGACTCAATTATTGTATGCTCCTGCTACAAAAAGGGATGTTAGATTGACCGTATATTTGTAACAGTAAATGCATAGATTTCTGTCTGACTCGATACACATTTCTCAGTTCAACATTATAAAGAAATCTGCAATTCTGATTCAAGCAAATCGCATCACTTGATAACAAACAAGTGTTATCCAAAAGTCAAAAGTTGGTACCACAAGAAGATCACCTTTACACTGATCCGCACAAGCCCCGTAAGTCCGTAGGAACGAGCAAATATCAACATCACATTTGCCTCTCTACAAATTCTATCGAGCTTGATCATAGAGTCTTCTACCAGCTGAAAGAGCAATTACGAGGACTCAATTGTGCACTCAGAAGAATCAATAACAAGTATCTACTGCAAGAATGGTATGGTTCTTTATGCTACAACCAAGCAAAATGGATTTCAAAAATTTACATGAACAACTAAAGAGAACATACAATGGTAGGGTACAACTTCATACCTGAGTAGCCACCACCAAAGTAAACTGAGAGAAGAATGAAGGGCTTGTCTCGATTAGAACCTGAGGATACTCCTCAATAAACTTTGCTTTAACTGCATCATTCAACTCTTGAAGGAAAGAGCACACACACTTTGCCTTGGATTCCCCAATGCTCGACTCATCCACTAAAATTTGCAGAGTCAATGAGAATGTAGGAAAAAAAAGAACAAGAAAAGATCCCAAAAGAAAATGGAAAGATAGCACAATTAAGGCACAAACCCATGAAGTTATTTCCAAGGTCCCCGACTTCAACTTTTGATCCATCAACCACAGTGATGCTCCCAACCCCTCCAAGAACAAGATTTTTTAACGTCTCAGAGCCAGTAGGACCACAATTGAGCAAACATATACTCGCTTTCTCAAGAGCAGCCTGGCCTTGCTCACCCCAGATCCTGAGATATCAATTTATTCACGTGAAAACACAAAGAAACATGACGGAATACTTTACAGCGACCTAGGGATCTACATGTAAGGTAAAGACCATCAACATTGAACAAAAGAATGTTGAAAATGCTCTCCCAAGTTGACCTCCACCTCTGTAAGCGAACTCTGTTGCATTAAGTGGATCTATACCGAAAAACTTAAACCCTAAACCCCGCTTTCAAGAAACACTTCAGCATTCTCAAGCAAATACTAAAGCAATTCCCACATAACGAAGAAATCGATAAAATGTGAATTTCTCTGTATCCTCCAACACCTAAGGCGCAATCGAATGGATGTTTCACCAACATCAGAAGTGTAGCTAAAAACTGTGCGCACAGAATTTTCCATTGAATGCGTTGCCAAGCGCAACCTCGGACTCTCATTAAAACAAAATTAGTTCTGCAAAAGCTCTCTTCCTACTCTCATCAAATCAATTTGCCATATCCTAATTCAAACGAGTCAGGAAACGAAAAACTCAGGAAACAGCGAGCTACAGAAAAGAACTCGACAGACAAAAGCTGCAAACCGAGTACCGGAGTTGGCGATCATATTTGACTTTCGGCTCGGCCATCGCGGTCTTGTCCTCCGGCGACTAACAAGCAGAGAAGCTCCGATCGCCGGCGACGAACCGACGTCGCAGCATTCAGGCAGCGAGTATCCTGCTCAGCTCCGGCACCGCCTCGTTCCGAAACCGTCGGCTGAACCTGAAAGGACCTGCGAGCAGTGCGAAAACTTGAGCGCCGACGAGAAGTGCACGGACATCCGACGCCCTGCAACGCTCGGGCGGGAAGATCTCTCGTCGGAAAACGACCGATCGTCATCGCCGGGAGCCAGAGGAGAAGAGAGAGATTACCCGGGGAAGAAGATCGACGCCTGCGCCTGCGCGCGAGCGAGCTTAGCTCGAAGTGAGGAGGGGGAGTGAGAGAGGCGTTTTCGGCTGCTTACAGCCTAGGCTATGTGTTGGCGGAGCGGAGAGGGAAGGAGTCGAATGCTGGAGAAAGCCGTTCGGGTACGAGAGAGAGAGTCCGAAATACCGTGGACCCGGGTCAAATTGGGCCTCCCTCGGGTCGGGGCACATCTTTTCCGTGTTGGCACGTTGAGGGGCGACCCATTCCTGGTCCGGTATGATCCGATCCCATCTAGGAGCCGTAGACCGGAAAGGACCGGTTCCCGTTCGGTCAGGGCACATTTTTTTTCATATACCCACTTTTAGGGCTAATCCATTCTCGGTCCAGTCTAGTTCGGTCCCATTTAGAAATCGGAGACCAGAAAGGACCGATTCTTGTTTCTGGAACTGGGAACCGGACTGATTGGCCTGAGTGGTCCAATGGAACCGGTCACAATTGAAGAGGGACAGAGTACGAACGATGAAGCTCAAGGACGAGAAGGACGGAAAGATAGAGTGATCGGCAACAAATGTGAGGGGTCAGAGTGCGAGCAAGAAGGAAAGGAAAGACCCGAGAGGGAGGCATGAGAGGGTGGGAAGAGATGGGAAAGAGTGGGAGAGGGCAACTTGAAAGAGAAGGACGGCAGGGGAAAGAGCCGGGAGGGAAGACTGAAGAGAGGGAAAGGCATGGCTGAGGGGAAAGGGAAACTGGAAACTGGAAAGAGAGGGGAAACACCGAAGATAATTAGGGTTTCTTTCTTAAAAGATTTTAAGAAATAAAATAATAATACTAATAACCGGTCCGGTCCAAGCGGTTCAAGTGGGCAATTCCACATTGGAACCGTGAGGTTTTGTTTTGTTTAGCTAGAAAATTAATGATTTGAATAATATTTTTCTAAAAATAATGGCTTGTATTGCTTACAAATATGAATGAATGAAGAATGTTCTTCATCGCCCACGGAAACGTTCAGACGCAGTCGTTATTGGTCACAGACACATTTTTTCATTGGTTAATTATTTCAAGCGATTTTGGGAAAAAAAGTTATTTAAATTATTCATTTTTCACGAAATAAGTGGAAGTTAAGTCGAACAAAATTTCAAATTGCCGGGCTGTTACTTTCGAGCAAACTAAGTCCACTCAAAAGTAGAGGGAAGTGAGATGATGCCAAGCTCATAAGCAAAGATGCACTTGTACACTACAAGATCGCCCATGAAAAGAAGTTCAAAATTGGTCATGAGTAGGACCTTAAAAGAATTAAGGGAAGATAGGAGAATGAATTCTTCGGTATGGTGGAGGTTCTTCCCTGTAAGTTCTCTTAAGAAAAACATCGAGAGAGAACTTACGGGACCTTGGATGGAGAAGGTAAACTCCACATCAGATTCGATTGGTTACCGTTGAGTAGGCATGTATAGTAGCCTTCCGCGTGGGTGACAAGGTGGAACTCTTGGATTCCTACTGGGTTGGCATGTGCTTCACACAGTGTCTAAGTAACCGACTTGCCGGCTCAGTACCTTGATTTAAAATCGAAACAGGAGGTTTTGTTTTGTTTAGCTAGAAAATTAATGTTTTGAATAATATTTTTCTAAAAATAATGGCTTGTATTGCTTACAAATATGAATGAACGAAGAATGTTTTTCATTGCCCACAGAAATGTTCAAACGCAGTCGTTATTGGTCACAGACACATTTTTTCATTGGTTAATTATTTCAAGCGATTTTGGGAAAAAAAGTTATTTAAATCATTCATTTTTCACGAAATAAGTGGAAGTTAAGTCGAACAAAATTTCAAATTGCCGGGCTGTTACTTTCGAGCAAACTAAGTCCACTCAAAAGTAGAGGGAAGTGAGATGATGCCAAGCTCATAAGCAAAGATGCACTTGTACACTACAAGATCGCCCATGAAAAGAAGTTCAAAATTGGTCATGAGTAGGACCTTAAAAGAATTAAGGGAAGATAGGAGAATGAATTCTTCGGTATGGTGGAGGTTCTTCCCTGTAAGTTCTCTTAAGAAAAACATCGAGAGAGAACTTACGGGACCTTGGATGGAGAAGGTAAACTCCACATCAGATTCGATTGGCTACCGTTGAGTAGGCATGTATAGTAGCCTTCCGCGTGGGTGACAAGGTGGAACTCTTGGATTCCTACTGGGTTGGCATGTGCTTCACACAGTGTCTAAGTAACCGACTTGCCGGCTCAGTACCTTGATTTAAAATCGAAACAGGAGGTTTTGTTTTGTTTAGCTAGAAAATTAATGTTTTGAATAATATTTTTCTAAAAATAATGGCTTGTATTGCTTACAAATATGAATGAACGAAGAATGTTTTTCATTGCCCACAGAAATGTTCAAACGCAGTCGTTATTGGTCACGAACACATTTTTTCATTGGCTAATTATTTCAAGCGATTTTGGGAAAAAAAGTTATTTAAACCATTCATTTTTCGCGAAATAAGTGGAAGCTAAGTCGAACCAAATTTTGATTTGCCGGGTTGCTACTTTCGAGCAAACTAAGTCCACTCCACGTGTCGAAAGTAGAGGAAAGTGAGGTGATGCCAAGCTCATAAGCAAAGATGCACTTGTACACTACAAGATCGTCCATGAGAAGAAGTTCAAAATTGGTCATCAGTAGGACCTTATTAGAATTAAGGGTAGATAGGAGAAGGAACTCTTCGGTATAGTGGAGGTTCTTCCTTGTAAGTTCTCTTAAGAAAAACATCGAGAGAGAACTTAGGAGACCTTGGATGAAGAAGGTAAACTCCACATCAGATTCGACTGGCTACCGTTGGGTAGGCATATATAGTAGTCTCCCATGTTTGGGGTGACAAGGTGCAACTCTTGGGTTCCTACTGGGTTGGCACGTGCTTCGCACAGTGTCTAAGTAACCGACTTGCCGGCTCAGTACCTTGATTTAAAATCGAAACATGAGGTTTTGTTTTGTTTAGCTAGAAAATTAATGTTTTGAATAATATTTTTCTAAAAATAATGACTTGTATTGCTTACAAATATGAATGAACGAAGAATGTTTTTCATCGCCCACGGAAACATTCAAACGCAGTCGTTATTGGTCACGGACACATTTTTTCATTGGCTAATTATTTCAAACAATTTTAGGGAAAAAAGTTATTTAAACCATTCATTTTTCGCGAAATAAGTGGAAGCTAAGTCGAACCAAATTTCGATTTGCCGGGCTGCTACTTTCGAGCAAACTAAGTCCACTCCACGTGTCAAAAGTAGAGGGAAGTGAGGTGATGCCAAGCTCATAAGCAAAGATGCACTTGTACACTACAAGATCGCTCATGAGAAGAAGTTCAAAATTAGTCATGAGCAGGACCTTAAAAGAATTAAGGGAAGATAGGAGAATGAACTCTTCGATATGGTGGAGGTTCTTCCCAGTAAGTTCTCTTAAGAAAAACATCGAGAGAGAACTTACGGGACCTTGGATGGAGAAGGTAAACTCCACATCAAATTCGACTAGCTACCGTCAGGTAAGCATGTATAGTAGCCTCCCACGTGGGTGACAAGGTGGAACTCTTGGATTCCTACTGGGTTGGCATGTGCTTCACACATTGTCTAAGTAGCCGACTTGCCGGCTAAATACCTTGATTTAAAATTGAAACATGAGGTTTTGTTTTGTTTAGCTAGAAAATTAATGTTTTGAATAATATTTTTCTAAAAATAATGGCTTGTATTGCTTACAAATATAAATGAACGAAGAATGTTTTTCATTGCCCACGGAAACGTTCAAACGCAGTCGTTATTGTTCACGGACACATTTTTTCATTGGCTAATTATTTCAAGCGATTTTGAGAAAAAAAGTTATTTAAACCATTCATTTTTCGCAAAATAAGTGGAATCTAAGTTGAACCAAATTTTGATTTGCTGGGTTGCTACTTTCGAGCAAACTAAGTCCACTCCACGTGTTGAAAGTAGAGGGAAGTGAGGTGATGCCAAGCTCATAAGCAAAGATGCACTTGTACACTACAAGATCGTCCATGAGAAGAAGTTCAAAATTGGTCATGAGCAGGACCTTAAAAGAATTAAGGGAAGATAGGAGAAGTAACTCTTCGATATGGTGGAGGTTCTTCCCTGTAAGTTCTCTTAAGAAAAACATCGAGAGAGAACTTAGGGGATTTTGGATGAAGAAGGTAAACTCCACATCAGATTCGACTGGCTACCGTCGGGTAGGCATATATAGTAGCCTCCCATGTTTGGGGCGACAAGGTGGAACTCTTGGGTTCCTACTGGGTTGGCATGTGCTTCGCACAGTGTCTAACTAACCGACTTGCTGGCTTTGTACCTTGATTTAAAATCGAAACAGGAGATTTTGTTTTGTTTAGCTAGAAAATTAATGTTTAGAATAATATTTTTCTAAAAATAATGACTTGTATTGCTTACAAATATGAATGAACGAAGAATGTTTTTCATCGCCCACGGAAACATTCAAACGCAGTCGTTATTGGTCACGGACACATTTTTTCATTGGCTAATTATTTCAAGCAATTTTGGGGAAAAAAGTTATTTAAACCATTCATTTTTCGCGAAATAAGTGGAAGCTAAGTCGAACCAAATTTCAATTTGCCGGACTGCTACTTTCGAGCAAACTAAGTCCACTCCACGTGTCAAAAGTAGAGGGAAGTGAGGTGATGCCAAGCTCATAAGCAAAGATGCACTTGTACACTACAAGATCGCTCATGAGAAGAAGTTCAAAATTAGTCATGAGCAGGACCTTAAAAGAATTAAGGGAAGATAGGAGAAGGAACTCTTCGATATGGTGGAGGTTCTTCCGTGTAAGTTCTCTTAAGAAAAACATCGAGAGAGAACTTACGGGACCTTGGATGGATAAGGTAAACTCCACATCAGATTCGACTAGCTACCGTCAGATAGTCATGTATAGTAGCCTCCCACGTGGGTGACAAGGTGGAACTCTTGGATTCCTACTGGGTTGGCATGTGCTTCACACAGTGTCTAAGTAACCGACTTGCCGGCTCAATACCTTGATTTAAAATCGAAACAGGAGGTTTTGTTTTGTTTAGCTAGAAAATTAATGTTTTGAATAATATTTTTCTAAAAATAATGGCTTGTATTGCTTACAAATATAAATGAACGAAGAATGTTTTTCATCGCCCACGGAAACGTTCAAACACAATCGTTATTGGTCATGGACACATTTTTTTATTGGCTAATTATTTCAAGCGATTTTGGGAAAAAAAGTTATTTAAACCATTCGTTTTTCGCAAAATAAGTGGAATCTAAGTTGAACCAAATTTCGATTTGCTGGGTTGCTACTTTCGAGCAAACTAAGTCCACTCCACGTGTCGAAAGTAGAGGGAAGTGAGGTGATGCCAAGCTCATAAGCAAAGATGCACTTGTACACTACAAGATCGTCCATGAGAAGAAGTTCAAGATTAGTCATGAGCAGGACCTTAAAAGAATTAAGGGGAGATAGGAGAAGGAACTCTTCGATATGGTGGAGGTTCTTCCCTGTAAGTTCTCTTAAGAAAAACATCGAGAGAGAACTTAGGGGACTTTGGATGAAGAAGGTAAACTCTACATCAGATTCGACTGGCTACCGTCGGGTAAGCATATATAGTAGCCTCCCAGGTCTGGGGTGACAAGGTGCAACTCTTGGGTTCCTACTGGGTTGGCATGTGCTTCGCATAGTATCTAAAAAATCAGGGTATTGAGAAAAAAAGTTATGTAAACCATTTATTTTTCACGAAACAAGTGGAAGCAAAGTCAAACCAAATTTCGATTTGCCGGGCTGCTACTTTTGAGCAAACTAAAAAATCCACTCAACATGTCAAAAGTAGAGAGAAGTGCGGTGATGCCAAGCTCAAAAGCAAAGATGCACTTGTGCACTACAAGATCGCCCATGAGAAGTTCAAAATTGGTCATGAGCAATACCTTAAAAAGGGTCTAGGGGAGATAGGAAAAAGAACTCCCCGGTATAGTGAAGGTTTTTCCTTGTAAGTTCTCTCAAGAAAAATATCGAGAGGAAACTTGGGGAACCTTCGATGAAGAAGGTAGACTCTACGTCAGATTCGGCTAGCTATCACTGGGTAGGCATGTATAGTAGCCTCCCGCGCTTGGAATGACAAGGTGAAACTCTCAGGTTCCTATCGGGTTGATCTGTGCTTCGCACAGTAGTTTAATAATTGACTTGCCGGCTCGGTACCCTGAATTTTTAGACACCATGCGAAGATGTAGTCGTTGTCGATCATGAACACATTATTTTATTAACTAATTATTTCAAGTGATCTAAATGATCGTTTTTTTGAAAAAATAATATTATTTAAACTATTCATTTTTCCAGAAAACAAGCGGAAGATAAGGCTGCGCATGGCAACTATTCTATGCTTGGAAACAGATTCTAGTCAGAAATGATTTTTTTTGATTCTGTGCCCGGGAACTGATTCTGAGCATTTGAAGGAGTTTGGTAATGGCCCAAAATTTCTATTCCTGAAATAGTAAAAGAACAGAAATGCGTTTGGTAACGGCATAAAATTTCTTTTTATTAATAATATTTTAATATTTCTTTCTTTTTTTTTTCTTCTCCTCCTTCTAGGCCATGGCCGGTAAAATATTTTTTAATTAATAATACTTTTATTAAAAATATATTTTTTAGTTTTTTGGCCATGGCCGGTAAAAAATTTCTTTATTAATAATACTTTTATTAAAAAATAAATTTTTTATTATTTTTGGCCATGGCCGGTAAATTTTTTTTTATTAATAATATATTTTTATTTTTTTTGGCCATGGCCGGTAAAATAAATTTTTTATAAATATTTTTTTATTAAAATATTTTAAGAAAATTTTTTTATTGAAAATATTTTTTTTATTTTTTTGCCATGGCCTGGTCGCCGGCCATGGCCGGTAAAATATTTTTTTTATTAATAATATTTTTTATTAAAATATTTATTTCCTTTTTTTTTGCCATGGCCTGGTCGCCGGCCATGGCCGATAAAATATTTTTTTATTAATAATATATTTTTTCATGGCCTAGTAGCTGGCCATGGCTGGTAAAATAATTTTTTTTTGTTCATAGCCGGTAAAATATTTTATTATTAATAATATTTTATTATTAAAATATTTTAATGTCGCCAGATATGGCGAGGGTGGCTCTCGCGTCGGACATTAGAAGCTACATTAAAAACCAAGAAAAAGAAGAAGAAAAAAAAATTAATTCTCATTTTTGTTTCCAGAATCAAAAAGCTACTTTTTTTTTATTCTTGATTCTGCTCTAAAACTGATTCTGGGCACAAATTTGCAAGAATTTGTGCCTAGAATCAAAAAATTTAACAAACGGATTTCTGTTCCAAAACTGATTTTGGGAACAAAACAACATAAATTTTCACTATTTGGCCAGTTACCAAATAGGCCCTATTTGGCCAGTCGAACCAAATTTCGGTTTGCCTGGCTGCACTTTTGAGCAAACCGAGTCCATTCCACGTGTCAAAAGTAGAGGGAAGTGAGCTGATGCCAAAGCTCAAAAGCAAAGACGCACCTGTCCACTACAGAATCGCCCACGGGAAGGAAAGTTCGATTGGCCTACTCCCACTCAGCCAATTTGCTCATTGAAGATGCTAAGTAAAGCGCCACGCTTTGTCTGCGCTCCTTCATTTGATTATCATTTTGTCATTCGTCCCTCTGCGATCGATAAAAGCCAGAGAATCGTTGACGTGATGCGGGCCCCACACTTACCCGGGGGCTGTGTCATTCGGGCGAGGATCGAACCCGGTTCGAACGCAAGACCTCGATCGGAATCGGTCTAATCATGTCGGCTTGATTTCGAGAACCATCTAGAAATGGTTCGGTTCTCGATTTCAAGGTCAAATCGGGTCCGATCGAGCTCGTTCTTGGATTGCGGGCTATTTTTGGAATGGTTTCTTTCTTTTTTTTTTTCGTTACCCATTTTTTAGGAAAAGAAAATCTGTGGTGGAACCTTATCTAGAAAAAAGAAAGTGACTGCACCTGCAAGGATTGAAGCATGGGTTCTAACGTGCCATGCACACCCACTTGTCCTTTTTGTTTTTTCTAAAGCACCCACTTTTCAAAGAATAGATTTTTGTATAAAAGAAAACACATTTTTTTTATACAGCAATCTCTTTAAATTTGGCAGCAAAGAAAATAAAGAACCCGTGGTACGTTCCCAATTTCAAACTTTTGGAATATGGTAGAAAAATGGTTAATATTACGAAAAATTCTAAATTAGTATATTCATGATAAATTTATCTAAATTAATTTTTTTAATCACCAAAAACTCCAAACTGGTACACTTGTGATAAATTTACCCTCCGTTAGTTTCCGTTAAATTTTACCATTAAATTGCAGGGTTGGATGACACGAGAAAGTTGACGGCGTCACATATTTATCAATTCGTGATTTTTCGTGGTATTAATCTAATTTAACAGATGATAAATTTATCATAAGTGTACCGATTTGAAGTATTTGGTGATTAAAAAATTAATTTGAGATAAATTTATTATTGGTGTATAAATTTAAAATCTTTTACTATATTAACCCTAAAAAACAAGAACATCATCACCTTTTCAAAACAGCCAAGGCGCTGCCTTGCAACTATTCAGCGGGAAGAAAAGTCGCCTCCAGCGAAACTTCCAAAATATCCCTCCATCGCGCCGTTCGTCCAACGCAGTCTCCACTCCAGTGTAAAACGCTCACACGCGTTCCCTCGTCGCAAAGCCATCTGATCCTCATCACACGGCGATCAACGGCGAGTCAACCCTCCCTCCCTCCCTCTCTCTCTCTCCACACCATCGACGGCACGAGATCCTCGATTCGATGCGGCCGTTACGCTCTCCCCCCCAACCCCACGTGGCGACGCGCCATTGCTAGTCAGCACGGGGCGGGCAATAAGTCGGAGCGCAGGGGAACATAGCCCTCCCGCTCATCGTCTTCTAGAGAAGGCGCACAGCTCTAGGTCACCACGCGCATCTCTCTCTCTCTCTCTTCTGTCACCTTCGAATCATATTATAGCGCAGAAGAAGCCGTGGACGCTAGTTGCTCCTCCTCCTCCTCCTCCTCCTCCTCCATAACCACCATTCGAGCTTTTTGTCCTTTGCCTCACTTTCTCTCTCTATCCCGACCCCCAGCCCGCCTCACTTTCTCTCTCTTCTGCAACGATCCTTATCTCGTCGCCAGAAATTATTGGCTTCGATCATTTATGTGATTTTGCCGCGGGGTGGGCGTCGCCATGTATATAACGAGCGCCTCGGCTTCGGCTTCGGCTTCCTCGCTCCTCCGAGCTTCCAGGGCGCGCCTCTGCGGTCCCATCGCCTCCGCCTCCGCCTCCGCCTCCGCCTCCAGGACCTTGGCCGCCCCGAGCCCGCGCCCCGCGCCCCTGGCCGACCGGTGCCGATCGCTCAGCTTCTACTCCGCGGTCCGATCGCTCCGGGGCTCCGTGCCGCGGTGGAGCCACGGCGTCGACTGGAGGTCGCCCCTGAGCCTCCGCCCCCAGATCAGGGCCGTCGCCCCCGTGATCGAGCGCCTCCAGCGGAAGTTCGCCACCATGGGTAAACTCTCTCTGCTCCGCCCCTGTCGGTCTCCGATGATCTTGGAGTTAGCTTACGAGTCGTGCTGGTTGGTCGAAGTTTGTTTGGGCTCGATCTGTGGCGCTGTCCTCACGTTGGGAAATGGAATGGAGCTGCCGAAATCGTCATTGATTTTTGTGAGTTATGCGAGAGTCCGAAACTACCGATCACCTATACGAGCTGCTCCCGAGTAGATGGCGAAAATGAAATCAAACTATCTGTCTATGTCGGTCTTTTGTTTGTTCTCTTGGGTAATGATGCCGTGAAAAGTGTCTGTCCCTTTCCCTTCATTTGTTGGATATGTCTGTGAAGAAGTTCTCATGTCTCAGTCACAGCGAACATTGAGTTTGGTGTTTAGCCCGAGAAAGATTAGTATTAAAGGGAAAGCACGACCGTGGATCTCAAAGTTGACTCTCGGTCGTCTTAATTGAAAGAGTAAACATTGGAGTCCTTATGCTCTCATAGTTTGTCTGATCGCCCCGAAAGAAGAATGATGCTAAAAGAAAAGCTGGTTAGAAGTGTCCAATGCCTTGCATTACTTTGAGAGATGCTAGTGGGTGCTGATCGTCGAGTTCTTCTTGTATACGTCCATTGGTTGAATATTTAGGGAAGACTGCATCCAGAATAGCTTTCACATGAGTCAGTGTCGATCACTTTTCTTCTCATCATGGAATTAGACTTGCTACATTGTTCTAAAGTTTTATTTATTGTGGGGATGTAACTCTGCTGATCGTCTGCTCGTTTGCAGCTTCGGAGAATCCTTTCAAGGAGATCTTAACTACTCTACCGAAGGCAGGAGGTGGCCATTTTGGAAAATTTTACAGCCTTCCTTCTCTAAATGATCCGAGGATAGGTATTATTCTCGAGCGTGCTCTTACCTGCATATAAATTATTTATCTTCTTATTTTCCTTTTGCATCAAATTCTGCATAATTTAGTAGCCGATTACATTGCTATCCTGTTGTAGACTTGTCTATGATAATGCTTCTTTCCTGCTTTATTATCCGTTCTTTCTTTATCCTTCTTTTTTCCTTCAGAACTTTTGGTTTTCGCAAAGTTTTCATCGACTTGGCTAGACCAGAAAAATCAATCTTATAATTGGAAATTACTGGAGACTCTTGATTTTGAATCATTTTGAGTACCCATTTATTGTGAGTGGCAAGACTGATGATGTGCCTTGCATTTTGTTCTTATGGTACAACAGACAAGTTGCCATACTCTATCAGGATCCTTCTTGAATCTGCTATCCGTAATTGTGACAACTTCCAAGTTAAAAAAGAGGATGTCGAGAAAATTATTGACTGGGAAAATAGTTCTCCTAAGCAAGTTGAAATTCCTTTCAAGCCAGCTCGTGTTCTCTTGCAGGTAATCCTTGTTCCAATCGATCTACTTGTTGTGCGATAATTTTATTGTTTTTTACAAGGATTTTCTTTTGCCAGGATTTTACCGGCGTGCCTGCGGTCGTGGATCTAGCTTGCATGCGTGATGCCATGAACAACCTTGGCAGTGATTCAAATAAGATTAATCCCTTGGTGCGTGTGATCTCTTTCATTCTCCCATAAAGTTATGTTTCCAGCTTAAACACTGATAAGTTAGCTTAAGAAGACCTTCTAAACTCGTGAGCCTATCTCTGGATGGTGTACTAACTATTTTTTCTTTGTGCAGGTTCCTGTGGACCTGGTGATTGATCATTCGGTCCAAGTTGATGTTGCAAGGTCAGAAAATGCTGTCCAGGCAAATATGGAGCTTGAATTCCGGAGAAACAACGAGAGATTTGCTTTCCTGAAATGGGGGTCCACTGCTTTTCGCAACATGCTTGTTGTTCCTCCTGGTTCTGGTATTGTGCATCAGGTACTTCACATGTTATTTTGACATTTCAGTCATCCAATATTCATGGTGTTCTGTCCTTTACAGTCCTTCTTTGACTGGACACTTACAGTGTCCATTTTCTTAAATCTTTTTACTCTGCATTTCCCATCATTGGTCGAATTTGCTGTATATGAATGCAGAAAGTGCGTATTAGCTTGTGTTATGTTACTATGATGGGGCCTCTAACTAACTTATGCCACCAACCTTTTGGAAACAGTTCCTTTAAAATTTTGCTCTTAGCATCATGGCCTCTACTTTGGTTATGTTTGCATAATCGAAAACAATGGCAGGAATACTAAGCAATATCTCATTATGTCATGATTCGTGCACCATGTTTAAAATGAGAAAATGAATTTAGGATTGAATTCCTACGGTTTTATTGTGCATTGTACTTTTAAAAGTTAAGATCTCCTGAATCTTTACATCTTTTAAGTTGTTTCTTCCGTCGTAAATTATTGTTGCCTGCCTCTATGTCTTAAGAAGTTCTAGTTCGATTTTAATGATTTTTTCGATTTTTAAAGCTGTGAAAGATTGCTCGGTTTTTTTATTACATCTATGAATACTTACTTGATGTAAGAGAAATATTAAGATCGGTATATTATAGATAGTCTGGAAATGATGCTGGAGGCTATAAAAAGATAGTAGATTGATGTCACACTGCACAACTAATCTTTGCCATTGGTTTGTAAATTTTTTTTTTTTTTGACATTTGTTTGGATTGAGGTGGACACTTACTGATTTGTTTGCTTGTAAGGATGTCATGGAAGTGTCTTGAACTTATTTCTTTTTAACCTGAATATGATGGAAACTTGAAATTTCAGGTCAACCTTGAATATCTTGGAAGGGTTGTTTTCAACAGTGATGGCATGCTTTATCCTGATAGCGTTGTTGGAACTGATTCCCATACAACCATGATTGATGGGTTAGGAGTTGCTGGTTGGGGAGTTGGAGGTATCGAGGCTGAGGCAGCAATGCTTGGCCAGGTATGTTATTGATAGATCTAAGCAATCTCATTCTCTGTAAATGCATGATTTCTGACCTTGGGAATGCTTCATTTAAAGTGAAATCTAAATTACAGTAGGATATTAAGTGCTAGTGATGGTTCACTCCTCTTATAGCCTCTTAATTGTGGTGATGACCATCATGTGTGTGAACGTGCCACTTGCTACTTTCTAATGACTATCGAGAGTTGATTATTGATTTACTCGCCATTTATTTACCATTTTCTCACGAGTTTCCCTCAAGTACTCAAAAAGATGTCTTTCCAGACTGTTGTGCAAACTTTGTGAAATGTTTCCAGCATTTTCTCTGTGTTTCCAGTTGTTCTTAGCTTTTTGCAAAATTTAAATTTTCTATCTATGTTGAATTCAGTGCAGTGTATTGTTCTAATCATTATAATGTGTTTATGGTTATGGTTTCCGCAGTTCTCTTATTCATTGAGGACATAATTGTTTCTAACACGTTTTGCATAATATTTGTTAACCTTTCACAGCCCATGAGCATGGTGTTGCCTGGTGTTGTTGGGTTCAAATTATCTGGGAAGTTGCGTGATGGTGTCACGGCCACTGACTTGGTCCTAACTGTCACTCAAATGTTGAGGAAGCATGGAGTTGTTGGCAAATTCGTTGAATTTTATGGTAACTTGATATTTGCCATAGCTTCATCCTAGCTTGGTTTGTCTCTCCTCTAGTTGTACACATGGTCTTAGATTGAATGTGCTTTGCAGGGGATGGTATGGGAGAGCTATCGTTAGCTGACAGGGCTACCATTGCAAATATGTCTCCTGAGTATGGGGCAACCATGGGATTCTTCCCCGTTGACCATGTAACTCTGCAGTATCTGAAGTTGACTGGAAGAAGTGATGAGACTGTGAGTAATTGACTTCTCTGACTGAAGCTTGTGTCCTGAAAGTATCAGCAGTGCTTAATTGTTTCGTATGGTCCCTTCAGGTGGCAATGATAGAAGCTTACCTACGTGCAAATAATATGTTTGTTGATTATAATGAGGTAAATCTACGAACTTGCATCTTAGCGGGTGGAAGCTGTTAGAAGTAACTGCCTACTTACTATTCCCAATTGCAGCCTCAACAAGAACGAGTTTACTCATCTTATCTGGAGCTGAATCTTGTGGATGTTGAACCTTGTATTTCAGGACCTAAGAGGTATAAGTTTCCCGCAGGGGGGTACCCCATATCTTGGTTCCACAAATTCATGCCAGTTGCATGGTTTAATGTTTTTAATCTGTAATCCACATTTAGTTTCAGTGTGTAACATCCTTAATTTTCGTCGCCTTTTCTTGCCAGACCTCATGATCGGGTTCCTTTGAAAGTTATGAAGGCTGATTGGCATTCTTGTCTTGATAATAAAGTTGGCTTCAAGGTTAGTTTCCTTAATGAACAGCTACCTTTGATTTCATAATCAGTTGGAGGCAAGGTCCTACTAGTTCTTTCTTCTAATTGCCTTGACTGGATCATTAACATGGAAAGCTGCCGTAATGGTACAACATGCAGGAACAGAAATTCTCTTGCTATCAGACTAAGTTAGAGATTTGCTTCGTAGTTCATGTTGCATTTTTTCCTTTTCTGATGAAGTAGAATCTACCATCTTCATTTGAGCGCAGTCATTTTAATCTTGTTCTGTGACATCCCGTGACATCTTGATTAGAAAGCCATTGTCGTTTCGTCCATACTAAATTTTGTAGATATAGGCAATAGGCTCATCTTCCTAATTTACTTTTCCCGGGGAGGCATTATTTTCTGAATTTACAGCCTGCCTAAGCTGTTATTCTTGCAGAATCAAACTGATGCAAAATCTTTTTGGAATTTCTTTAAAGCTGGGTGAGAATACATAGGATATAATATTATGCTTGCTTGTTTTTGAAGCCTGGGTGGGAATACATAGACTGTAATATAATGTTGGTTTGTTTTTGTGGTAATACAGGGTTTTGCTGTACCCAAAGAATCACAAGATAAAGTGGCCAAATTTTCATTCCATGGGCGGCCAGCTGAACTCAAGCATGGGAGTGTTGTGATTGCTGCCATTACTAGCTGCACCAACACATCGAATCCCAGCGTCATGCTTGGAGCTGCTCTAGTAGCGAAAAAGGCTTGTGAACTTGGATTACAGGTTCGCTGTGATTATAATCACTGTGCATCTCTATACTCTGTACTTTTTTCAGGATCAAGCTTCTTTTTACTGTTTATTGATAATTCTTGTTGGTGACCGGAATTGTGACACCAGGTCAAGCCATGGATCAAAACAAGTCTTGCACCTGGCTCCGGTGTTGTTACTAAGTATCTACTTAAGAGGTACAATTTTGGGATAAGTTAGCATAGTGTTGTAGAATATCTTTATATTGGCAATGAGGAGGCAACCTGATTTCTGTATCTTTGATGTTGATGCAGTGGGCTGCAGAAGTACTTAAATCAGCAAGGATTCAACATTGTTGGATATGGATGTACTACTTGTATTGGAAATTCTGGGGACTTGGATGAATCAGTTGGCTCTGCCATCTCAGAAAATGGTACTGTTAAATGTTCTCTTGCAAGGAGATGTCATGCTGCCGAGTGTTGAGCTTCATTTGTTCAAGCAGTTACATAAGCAATCGCTTCTGGACATCATTGATTAGATTATCTAAAATGGCTTATTTAACTGCCATGCAGATATCATTGCTGCTGCCGTGCTCTCTGGAAATCGGAACTTTGAAGGGCGTGTTCACCCGTTGACTAGAGCTAATTATCTAGCTTCACCTCCTTTAGTAGTTGCCTATGCTCTTGCTGGCACGGTATGTAATGATAATTGATGGCAATGTGTAAAATTATTAAATTCATGTATATAATGAATAATAACTTGTTAGGGTTTTTGAGTTTTTGACATTCTCTGTTTTAATTTAAGAAGGAAAACATTCTCAAGTATAGTATTTTGCAAACACTTTACAAATAAAAATAGGGAAAACTGTTTTCAGGATTGAAGTTATAAATTAAAAGTTTTTTTTTCTCAAATAAAAACAAAGGGGAATCCTCTTTTCATATGGACTTTTCAGTTCGGAGATCTCTTACTGGGTTTCTAAGTGTCAACACTTGTGCAAGTTCTTTTTTCATTATTATAATTTTTAGTGTGGATCCTACCGGGCACATCGATTTTCTTCTTTGGTTTGAATTCTGATCCTAGTTATAATTCTTTGAGCGATCATTGGCGTCATCCCATAGGGATATTTGTGTACTGCCAGCATTTGATTTTATATCTTGATCCCAGGTTGATATTGACTTCGACAAAGAGCCAATTGGAACAGGGAAGGATGGTAAGAGTGTTTTCTTCAGAGATATCTGGCCATCAACAGAGGAAATTGCACAGGTAGACAATATATTATAATTTTGATATAGCAAGTCATGTTGGGGTTTGTGCGAGTCTAACTAAGGTTTCCCTTGTTTTCAGGTTGTCCAATCAAGTGTTCTGCCGGAAATGTTCAAAAGCACTTATGAAGCTATCACAAAGGGCAATCCCATGTGGAACCAGCTCTCTGTTCCTGCTACGACCATGTACAAATGGGACCCCAACTCTACCTACATTCATGAGCCTCCGTACTTTAAGGGCATGACCATGGATCCTCCTGGAGCCCATGGAGTGAAAGAGGCATACTGCTTGCTGAACTTTGGTGATAGTATTACGACTGACCATATATCCCCAGCAGGAAGCATCCAGAAGGACAGTCCTGCAGCTAAATATCTACTTGAGCGTGGGGTGGACCGCAAAGACTTCAACTCATATGGAAGTCGACGTGGAAACGACGAAGTGATGGCAAGGGGAACTTTTGCCAATATTCGTATTGTTAATAAGCTTTTAAATGGCGAAGTGGGTCCCAAGACAGTTCACATCCCTACAGGAGAGAAGCTTTATGTGTTTGACGCAGCAATGGTAAGTTTCTGGGAGTTCTCTATGCTTTGTAAATTTTATATCCTTCATTTGCTTGTGCTTATTTAAAACTGTTTTAAAATATGATTGACTATTTGCTTGTAGGTGTTGCTATTTAAATGAAGGGAAAACACCAAAAGCACATCTCATTTTTTATCGAATTGCCACCTTATCTTTGTTTTTGTGTATACCATTTACATACCTTTAAGCAAACCCCACAATGGAAAGACCAAATTGCCTCTTCTTGCAAACTCATTTTATGATCTGGGTGGTTTAATTTTCAGTTGGTTTGAGTATTTAAGGTGGCCTTGAGAATTTAGGAATTGGGATGAGCATTTTTGGAAATATATTGGCATGTCCGAAAAAGGGACTTAAAAATAATTGATGTGAAGATGCAAAGTGATCTCCAAAGGTAAAACTCAATGAGATATGTGTTGGGTATTTTAAAATATAAAGGTATGTAAGTGGTCGTTGGGTGAAAAAGAAGATATGTTTTTGGTATTTTCCCTAAAATGAAATTGTAATTCTTGTATTTGTCATCCCCTAAAATGAATTGGTATTTTCGCTTCATAGCTTGGAGTGATCGGATATTTTGCAACATCTGTATTGAAAAGAAGATGCTGTGCTGCTGTGATTTCGATAATTGCTGGTAAAATAGGTTCTTATATATCTTGGAATTATTCGAAATACTTTCTTAACAGGCAATTCTGTTCTCGGAATGATGAGAATCTCTAAACCCGTCTTTTCTGGTGTAATTTCAGAAATACAAAGCTGCTGGACATGATACTATTGTTCTGGCTGGAGCAGAGTACGGTAGTGGAAGCTCCCGAGATTGGGCAGCCAAAGGGCCCATGCTACTGGTGAGTTTACTTGCAGTGTTACAAGCCTATTTCATTTTTCCACTGGCACTGTCTTATCCTCGAGACTAATATAATATGCAACAGGGAGTCAAAGCAGTGATTGCAAAAAGTTTCGAGAGAATTCACCGGAGTAATTTGGTGGGTATGGGTATCATTCCACTCTGCTTCAAAGCTGGTGAGGACGCAGACACATTAGGATTGACTGGTCACGAGCGTTACACTATTGACCTCCCGAGCAATATTGCTGAGATTAGGCCTGGCCAAGACGTGACTGTCACAACTGACACGGGCAAATCCTTTACCTGTGTTGCCCGCTTCGATACTGAGGTACTTCCCGTCTCATCTCCTTAATATGTTCCCGTCATGCCTGAGAGGTAGTATTTTGGCCAAAAATTAGAAAAAAAATTTGAGAGGTAGTGTTGACTATATTCTGTTTCAGAGCTATGCAGCCTGTCTAGGTACTTTGCCTAGCGATTTCAAAATAGAGAATTTCAGAAATGATTTCTGTATGGTTAAAGCTTCAAAATTTGATTATATTTCAGGTTGAGCTGGCGTATTTCAACCATGGAGGAATCCTCCCGTACGTCATTAGGAATCTTACTAGCCAATAAAGTCAGAATTGTTGGCAGGCAGCTTGCTCCGGCATGGGAGCCGTTTCACTTTGTAAAATCTGAGAGGAAAATAATGTCTCGAATACAAAGAAACATCCCTATCATGGGACAAGTTTTTGAGAACTTCCGCACATGCAGGCTTATTTGATCTGCATTTGGAGTTAGAATTGCGTTTCTCTTTTCAACTTTCCATGTTCTTAAATGGTGGAGCCCCTGTTGTTTTCCACCGGTGAATGCCGTGTCAACTTCAATCTGAGTTATATATTTGTGATGGTTGCGGTTCTCTGTATTCGGAGTGCGAATCAGCAATAGCAAGTACTTTTAGCAACAAAACCGGCTTTTCTGTAAGTTATGTGTAAAAAACAAGAGCAAGCAAAATCGATAAGCATTGTTGTGATTAGGTCAGTTTTGCCGTCTAGTACTTGTGAATTGCGATTAGTTTGGCTGCATGCGTTCTTCCATGTCAAAGCGCAGGAAAATTCAGCTCCAATTTGAGAACTTAGTATGAAGCACGACTAAGTATAATCTGAGCATAATCCTGAAATATGGCGAAATAAAACGTACGGTACAAATAGGATTATGAGGAAATTACATGAATGGCCGTTCTTATCTGGGTCATCCCCCTGATATGCCGGCAGTACTCACCAGATACAGCTGGTTGGTAACTCGGCTCTATTGCATCAAACCAATGTAATCCCATCTCATGCCCAAAAGAATTTGTTCGCCTTACAAGTTTCGACGTGCCGTCTGAAATCAGGGCGGATTTGATTGACATTCGAAGGGGCAATCACTCTGGGGAAAGGACCATTCCTGGCTTCGTTGCAGCAGCTGCGTGGTTACCAAAGGACGACATATGCAAGGCCAAGCCTCAAGGTATCCTCCCATTCGTAGAACAGATCAGTGACATTCTCTGCGTCAATGGTAATCCCTGGTATCATCAGTAGAACAGAGTCTCGGCTTTGCTTTCGATGGTTGTACCATGTATGGTAGCCAATTCAATTATAAAGGGAGTGGAATGCGCAATGCTCGTCGAGTCACAACATCTAGTGATTGAACTACCATATACTTCAATTGCTTTTACGTTCACATGGACTAATACAATACATATCCTAGCAAATCAAATTAATAGTGCATTACAGCCGGTGCTGCAGAAGTCACGAACAGCATCGAAACAAGAGGAACATATCAACAAAGACCAGGGTTGAATCAATCGACTAGTCATTGATTAGCCTTAGCGGTTGTACAAAGCGCCAACTCACAGACTAATTCGAGTGTTTCCATGGTTCTGTTTCTGTCATTCCTAGACTAAGAACTAACTTGGGAGACGACATAGCTAGCCTAGGCACGGCTTGGATCACAGAGACACAGGAGCAAGACATGTTAGCTGCTTGCGAAATAAACACTGACAAGTTAAAACTTCAACGACCCTCCGGAATGCTCTCCAAACGCGGCCTCCGGTTGTTGCCGTCGAACCTTCTGTCGCCTATTCTCACTTCCGATATGCTTCTGTTTCTCAGCTGCAACGCATTCAGCAGTTGCTCCACAGATGAAAACTTGTGATCTTGGGTGTGCTTGAGTATTTGCCTCAGTTCCTCCTTTGTCACCAGCACTCTCACTCTCAGGACCCCGCTTTCGCGGGAATCACCGTGACGGGGTCGGTTCTCTCTGACGACTTCATCACCGTCTTCCTTCAGTTTGAAGCTCACGCTCTTCTTTATCTTCTCGTTCTTGTTCTTGCCTCCATCTACTCGTATTGCCGGCTCCAACTTGGATTGCAAAACCTCATCCGCAATATCTTGAGCAATGACTTTGTTACTCACCAAGCAATTTCCCATTTGCTTTCTCCTCCCTTTTTTTTCCCCCAGAAATAAATGTATGAAAGTATCAAGAATGGTGTTCGGACACAGGGAAGATAATGAATATATAGGAGAGGTTGAAGGGCAAGAGCACATGGACAGACCCTTTTTTGCGCCGGTTCTTTGGATTAGAGGAATGTGACCAGATTCCTTAGCTTGTTACCAGTACCAACCCACATGCTACGAATCTGATGTCCCATTTGTTATTGTCTGTTTGTTTTGGCCCTTTTTTATGCTTCCCTGTACTTCAAGTCAGCATGGCCGTCTCCCAGCTTGATATATTTATATAAACTGAGTGTTCGAGACTCTTTCGAACGCTCTACTAATTCCCTATTGGGTGTAATCATCGTCCCTTGTTCCACGCAGCAATTACCGAAGACATACGGATCTGCGCTTCCAGGAGTGGTCCCCAAAAGAATGCGCAAATGTGGTGATTCAAACCCAAATGGAGCGAGAAGAAGGAACGTGCTTAACACTCGAGCAACCGTTGGAGATTCGTAGCTTCACATTATTTTACTTATTCTTGGTCAACTGTGTGAAGTAAAGTATGCGCAAGCAGTTGCTGCAAAATTCATAATTTTATATTTACTTAAACAGAATGTGGCGATAGAGATTCTTTCCAAATCGACCCAAATCACATTTTAACGTTTTGCGTAGTGACAAACGAGGATCTGGAGTATTAGGAGTGTATCAAGTTTCATGTAATTGGTGCAAACCTGTGCCCAAATCACAATAACGCTGCATATGCGAGGCCAAAACACTCCAAATCAGGCCAGAGATGCTGGGGTATTCCTATAACCGCCTGGATTTGATCGGCCGCCGGTGTTGCTAGAATGGGGGTGACATCACAGGAGCTTCTGGACCAGGCTGATTTACTGTGGCAGGGACTGATTTAAAGGGTTGGAGCCCTACCGGGATTGCTGAATCTCGTCTATTGGTTGCTGATGTTATTGGAAATTTGTTGCTGTGTCAGTGGTGGCAGGGGATGCACGAACAAGTATTGACGAATGTGAGGACGAAACTGAGGTTCTGCAAAACGATGTCCGGGCAAAGTGCGGATGGAAATCGAAACTCGCTGGTGCAGTGGTAACCAAACGTAGTGGCAGGGCGACAGCGAGCGAATGATGGTCACAGGGAGGCGTTTGGCTTGGGAGTCGAGCGTTGAACGATGGTGGAACCTCCGAGCCCCACTTTGAGAGTTTCAAGTGCAACGTTGTTTTTCACCTAGGAGAGTGGTGCGATGTTGCTTTTACACAACCCAGCCACGTTGGATGGTGCTGCGTCGTTTTTATTATCCGCATGGACTTTTTTTTTTTATAAAAAAATTGCCAACTCACATTCAAGTTTAATAGAAGAAGGACAATAGAAGTACCAAAAGTTGTGTACGACGCTCACTTTAGTGTCAAAAGTTTTTTTCGGATCACTTGAGTGCCACCTTTTCAAAAAAACGATTACTTAAGTACCAACTCCGATTTGAATCGCCGAAAATCCGACATAACTATATTTTATTAATTTCTCAGTCCTACGTGGCTCGCCGGCGTGTCTAGTCAGCATATAACCCCTAAACGACGTTGTTTAAAAGTTGCAATAGTGATCGTTTGAGCGCCAAATTTTTTTTAAAAGTGATCATTTCAGTGCCAAGCACCGGCCCAAACAAGCAGTAACTAGCTGCACCACCTCGTGTAGCTCGACCAATAAGCGCAGTTGAGAACCCTTACTCGACAAGGTAATTTCATTCTTCTCTTTCCTGTCTTGTTCTGGCCAAATGTAAGACCAATTTCCGTCCACGAAACCTATTCGTAAATCACTGAAAATCTAAGTTATTAATTGATGATTGGTGACGACATTGTTGTTCTAAATACTGATTTTAGATACAACCAGCAAAATTTTGCACCACAAGATGCACCAGCATTAACTTTGCACCGACAACACATAGCTGGTGAATCTTGTGCTTGTACTAGCACATACAATAGTTGGTGCAAGCACAACCAGCAAAACTAACACACCAGCACAACCAAAAGTAATATATGGAAATGGCAAAAACATAGACAAAATAAAGTCCATTAACATTAAATTTAGTCTTTACATTTGGTCAATTTGAATAACGCACTAGAACATCCCAACATCCAGGGGTTGGCTTCCCACCAAACAAAAACATTCAACTCAACACTTAACAATATCAATCCCATCAATCTGTGCATCAACACTTCTCTTCCCTAGGCCAAGACCCTCCGCTTCAAGGAACTGCCGTTGTTGTTGTTGCTGCGCTTTGCCTTCTTAATCTCCACTCCGATCTTGTTTAGGCCAATCACGGCTTGCCTCTTCTTCCTGCTCCCTGATCCTGCATGCATTGCATAGAGATTGCAGGACCAAAGCACAAATCGATCATAAGCTGCGTCAAAATCAAAACAACTATCGAGCGGTGAAGTAATCTTTGCTGGCTTATCATTCTCCATCACATTGACAAACTCAACCTCAAGGGGAGCTTCACTAGTGTCAGAATCATTCAAGTCTTGAGATGAAACATTTTGAATGCATTTTCCCTCCATGTTGACCTTCCTCGTGATCTTTTCTTCTACAAGTCTCCCACAAAATCCCAAATATACTATATTAAAAGGGATTAAACAAAGTATTATCTCCACTTCTGGATAGAATCATTGCCAAAGACAACTCCAGAGGGCCTTTTTGCCCCTTTTTAGGCCAAAACTGACAGAGGCCGCAGTTACAAGTATAGAACTAATAATAACATGACAGATCTAAAGCCCGTTGTGGGCCAATGAAACTCCATATCAGCAGAAAGGCTAAGGGCCCGTTTGGTAACGTGCCAAATAGTGAAAATTTCTGTTCTTTTGTTCCCAGAAATAGTTTGGGAACAGAAATGCGTTTGGTAAACTTTTTGTTCCTCAGCACATTTTTGCAAAAATTTGTGCCGAGAAACAGTTTTGGAAGAGAAACAAGAAATAAAAAAAAAGTTGCTTCTTGTTTCTCGGCACAATTTTGAGAATCAGTTTTTTTTCTTCTTTTTCTTTTTTTTCATTTCTTATTTTGTGTGTTGTTCCCTGGCCGAGCCGGCCGCCGCCGGCGGCCGGCGACCGGCCACACCGCCCAGGGCCGGCCGCCGCGGAGGCGAGGCCGCCTAGCTCAGATCGAGCGAGGCCGAGCCTCGCCGTCGGTCCCGACGGCGAGGTCGGCCTCGCCCGAGACGGCGAGGCTCGGCTCGCCCGATCTGGCGAGGCCGAGCCTCGCCGTCGCGACCCACGGCGAGGTCGGCCGCCATGGGTCGCGACGGCGAGGCTCGGCCTCGCCCGGCTCCGGCGAGGCCGCCTCGCCCGGCGGCGAGGGTCCAGCCCTCGCCCTCGCGGCGAGGGCGACCCTCGCCTCCACGGCGGCCGGCGAGGTCCGTGACGCCCTCGCCGGCCCGGGCGTGGCCCGGTCGCCGGCGACCGGCCATGGCCAAAGAAGAAAGTAAAAAGAAAAAAAAAATTTAAGCAATTCAAAATATTATTAAAATATTATTTGGGAACAGAAATTTTGTGTAGTTACCAAACGCATTTCTGTTCTTTTCTACTCTAGGAATAGAAATTTTGGACATTTATCAAACGCCTTCAAATACTCAGAAATTGTTTCCGGGCACAGAATAAAAAAAAATCATTTCTGTTCAAAAATAGCGCTCGGGCACAGAATGGTATTCATGCGCACCCTAAAGAGCTCAAAAAAGAAATTGCTTATAAAGCTTCCTTAATTGTGAAATGGAATATTAGCCAACTTTTAAGCTAACATAATTCAAAAAAATTTCAATGGGCGTAAATTTTCTTCTTCGAAAGCAATAAGAGACACTGTTTTATGAAAGAAATGAAGTTAGAAACACGCATTGGAGCAACTTCAGAATCGCAGACAAATTAGCAAATAAAAAAAAAAACACAATGTACGGAGATACTGAGAAGACAGTACCCAGAGGGGAGTCGAATTCAGTAATCGTCGAGAACTTAGGAACGGCATGATCATCGCGGAGATCGTGATCGTCTTCAACAATAAAAGATGGCTCTTCCACCTATGCACCAAATACCATCGATTCGTGATCCCACAGATCCCCAAAGATCATTACTTCACCGCAAAGCAATAAAATTCAAAAAAACCCTAGACAAGAAACAAAAAGGGCAGGAGCTAATCGACGCATGTCTTCTTCCTCTCCATCGAAGCTCCATTGGAACAATATGTCGATCCCTACAACAATAGTGAACCAAATCGAGCGATTTCAGCCGCCTAACCAACGCAAGAATTTCGAGATCTCGACGAGATGGTCTCGCATGAAGTCCCGATCAGTGCGGCCACTAACCTTTTCACCCAAATCTGGCATTTGTGTCAACTCTTCGTAAGATCTAGCAGCTCTCCGAAGTCGGCGAAGTATGACAAACCTTAGCAATTGCCGAGAGACAAACCCCAAGTGTCGGGATTGGGGGCGAAGAAGCGATCGCACTGTCAAATCTACTGAACTGAAGTAGGAAGAAGGACGCTGAAGCGAATCAAACCCAGAATGAGGGATCAAGAGAGAGAGGTCAATGATGATCTTGAGGAAGCTAAAAATGGAGCCGAAAAGCACACACAAAGCAAGAGAGAGAGGGGCAAAAATCCATGCGGATTGGATTTTTAACAAATATGCGAACTTAACTTTTTTTTTTAATTATAAAAGCCACATAATTTTGGCTTGAATTTCTCGCCGTTGGCACTTAAGTGATTGTTTTTCTCCGATTTGGCACTTAAGTGAGCCGGCGAGAACTTTTGGCACTAAAGTGAGCGCTGTACACAACTTTTGACACTTCTAGTGTCCTTCTTCCCAAGTTTAATTATAAAAGCCAAGTAATATTTTTGATCGAAATTTCTCGCCGGAGACACGGAAGTGATCATTTTTCTCCGATTTGGCATTTAAGTGAGCTTGCGAAAATTTTTAGTACTAAAGTGAGCGCCGTATGAAACTTTTGGCACTTTTTGTGTCCTTATGCAAAAAAAGAGAGTGGGTCATTGTCTTCTTATGTGAGACATTATGTCTTAAAGTCAATACTTCCATTAAAGCCAATAATAGGAATATAACTGTCTTGTAGAAACTTTCTTGAAAAGTAGGCAGAAGAATACTAGAAGTGTCAAAAGTTATGTACGGCGCTCACTTTAATGCCAAGAGTTTTTGCCGGATCACTTATGTGCCAAATCGGATATAAAACGATTACTTAAGTGCCTCCGACGAGAAATTCCGATCAAAATGATTCCGTGGCTTTTATAATTAATTTTTTTTATCCAACTTGGCATTTTTATATTACAAACGAGTCCATATCAGATTTTTATATTAAACATTGAGTCGTCTATCTTCCCCTCCTTGCTGGTCTTCATGTTGCTCTTAATCGCATAGTTGAGCTTCGGTCGTCGGATCCTGCCGATCTGCTCCAATCAGCGTCACATCTAGTGACCTCGTCTTCTCTCCTAGTGAGAACAACACATCCTCGAACTTCATTTTTTTGCAGCAGCATCGAATCAGGTCTCTCAAGGGAAACGCTCCTACTGGGGTCTACTTCTCGGTGTCTCTTGCCCTTCAGCGATATCCAACTCGTCTTTCTCACTCGTCTTTGCAATCACAACTCTCCTCATCGTCAATTTGAGTCTAGTTGGAGCTGTTATGGTCGCCATTGAACACCATCCAACGCCATTTTTCTTCATTACCTTATTTCGCCATTTGGTATGGATTTCTACTAATGTCATATTATGGAATCGAAAAATTACTCTAGTTTTGCATATAAGATCCTCACCTCAGACGTTCATAATGTGTTTGAAGGAATGCCGAAACCAGATTTGCATAAATTTTTTTAAGATTCTGGATTAATTGGAGCGTGTTTCAGCATGTCTCATGTGGTTAATACTTCTCATTAACTTGGCATTGTGACGGAGCAGCAAGCGTCGCGGGAAGCAGCAGCTAGAGTTGGGGTCAGCTTGGCACAAACAGATTAGGGAGTGCAGGGTAGCAAGATCTCTGGTGTGGTAGAATAGCAGCTGGGTCGCGGATCGGGGAGCCGTGGCGGAGAGGGAGGGGGTCACGGCCTTCGGGTTTGGCTGTGACTTCCCCCTCTCTTTTCTCTCTTCCTCACTTGTTTCACTCTTGTGTTTTGAGAACAATGTTGCCGACCTCTCAATTCAGAGACATAACTATGTATTTATGGTTTTAACTCAGGTTTATCTCACTATCGCGGGCTTAAATTAAGCCCTTTTTCAATGTGATGAGCTCTAATAACCTAAGGCCAACTTGTAATTAAACTTCAATGGGCTGGAATATGATCAAATTAAGCTCAATTAGGCCCGTCTTGCCTTGAAATTTTTGGCCACAATGCTCTCTAACCTGGTCGAGTTTGGCTTGATGTCCGGGCCAAATCTGCACAATTGATTTGGGTTTATTTTACCACCGCCGGTCCGAAGCAAAATGCAACTAAACTATATGCTAAGCAATATAATTTTAACATTTTTGTTTAGGGTTAAAGATTAATTCCTAATTTTCTGTGCAATTAATTTCTAAATGATTAATCAAAATTTAGGTGTCAACATACAGATAGGTGATAGTTCTTTATCTAAAGAACTCATCTTAGCTCATAGTTTTTTTTTGGTCAAAACAAATTTCCATCCATTACCGAAATGATACATGATAGGACATCTCAAAAGTCACAATAACAAAGCAAGCCCACAAAACTCCAAAACAAACCGAAAATCAGAAATCAAGGCATATCATTAGAGTATGGGTGGTAGAGATAATTACTCGCTCGTCTTTCAAGAACAGATCTGTAACTGCATCCAAGCGAAAGAATCGGCGGCCGATCACCGAATCATATAGCATCATCAATGATAAGCACATGCCGAGATCTCCATCTATAGTTACGGTTTTTCCTTTTAGCGGTGTGCGCCTAGGTTCGGCGTCCCCAACACCATTACTGTACGGAGACAACATAAACATGTTGAAAAAACTTAGATCTGATACCTGTGAGAGCGAGCTTTGTAGCCAATGCGATGCGCCAAAGCTTGTAACTAAAACACGTTGAACGAGCATAGATTTGACATCGAAACTGCTGTGAACACCATTGAAACTGGAGGTGGAAAACTTCACTACAAAAAAACAAGGGTTTTGCCATGAATTTTTCCACGAAAAATTTGGCAAAATTCGTGGCAAAACGAATTTCCAATGAAATTAGCGACGAACAAAAATTCGTCGTCGCAAATTTTTGCGAAATAAAATTTCAATTTTCGTTGGTAATTTGCGACGAAAAAATTTCGTCGCAAAATTCGTGGCTAAATTCGTTGCAAAGTTCGTTGCAAAATTCGTCGCTAATTATTCGTTGCAAAATTCGTCGGTAATTATTCGTGGTAAAATTCGTGGCAAAACGAATTTCCGACAAATTAGCGACGAAAAAAAATTCGTCGCTAATTCCGCGTCGGAAATTTTTGCTACAAAAAATTTATAAATTGCGACGAAAACAAATTCGTGGCAAAATTCGTAGATAAATTCGTGTCTAAATTCGTTGCAAAATTCGTCGCTAATTATTCGTTGCAAAAATCGTGGCAATATTCGTCGCTAATTATTCGTGGCAAAATTCGTGGCAAAATGAATTTCCCACGAAATTAGCGACGAACAAAACAATTCGTCGCAAATTTTTTTTCGCAAATTTTGGCGACAAAAAAATTGAATTTTCGTTGGTAATTTGCGACGAAAACCAATTCGTGGCAAAGTTCGTTGCAAAATTCGTGGCAAAATTCGTCGCTAATTATTCGTTGTAAAAATCGTGGTTAAATTTGTCGCTAATTATTTGTGGCAAAATTCGTGGCACAACGAATTTCCCACGAAATTAGGGACGAAAAAAAATTTGTCGCGTCGCGAATTTTTGCAACAAAAAATTTCAATTTTCGTCGGTAATTTGCGACGAAAACAAAATTCGTGGGAAAATTCGTTGCAAAATTTGTTGCTAATTATTCGTTGCAAAAATCGTAGGAAATCGCGAATTTTTCCGACAAAAAATTTCAATTTTCGTTGGTAATTTGCTACGAAAACAAATTCGTGGCAAAATTCGTCGCTAATTGTTCGTTGCAAAAATCGTGGCAAAACGAATTTCCCACGAAATTAGCGACGAAAAAAAATTAGCGACGTCGCAAATTTTTTCGACGAAAAAGAATTCATGGCGAAATTCGTCGCTAATGATTCGTTGCAAAATTTATCGCTAATTATTCGTGGCAAAATTCGTCGCCAATAATTCGTGACAAAATTTGTCGGTAATTATTCGTGACAAAATTCGTCGCTAATTTTCCACGAACTGTATTCGTGGCTAAATTCGTCGCTAGTTTGCCAAGAAAGTTTTTTTTTTGGGTCGCTAAATTGCGACGAAATCTATTCGTGACAAAATTCGTCGCTAAGTTTGCGACGAATTTTGTTTAGGGACAATTTCGATTTTAAATCTAATTAGCAGCAATATTAATTTCTACAATGTATAAGTTGCAAAGTCTCACATGATGGTATTCGATATTCAATCTCATAATACATAGAGGTAGCTAAGCACTAATGAACATCATGTAATACTTTCAAAACATTGAAAGGACGCGGGACAACCATAAAACGTTGGCAGCTTTGGTACTCGGCAGGACATCAGGAACAGTCACCTTTATCGACACCTGATGAAATATGGATACATAAATAAAGATATCGAATTTGTCCAAAATATAAAAAAAGCATTTATGCATGGACGTGGAACTAGCTATAAAAAAATAAGTAGGAGGATTTAAAAAAAACGTTCAAGGACCAATGTTCTTACATTTGAATATAAGTCAACTTTCACATCCATTAGAAGAACATATGAAACCAGCAGCAAGGTCACAATTCTAACTCCTAAAGCCGAGAGACGAGGACATCACCTGAAGCTTGTCCTCGGACTGACGAGGCAGCTCGCCGCGAGGGGATGACCACAACGACTAGTCGGCCCCGAAGAGAATGAACTAGGAAGGACTGACAATAAAAGCATCAGCATCATCATCATCATCATCACCAATCGCCGCATCATTGTGTGGCTCATCATTATGCCCATCACCTATTGGATTAATAGGAGGTACAGGAGGAACCTCATTGCGATCGATGTCGAGGTGTCGCATGATAATGTGCATTTGTTGTTGCATCACTCTTATTTCTTCGTCCTTCTGTCCAAGTAAATGCTTCAGTTCTTCGTCCTTCTGTACAAGCAACTGTTTCAGTTGGCTCAATTCTTGGGTCATTTGCTCCTCATGTCGTGTCCTCCTCGAAACAGCTGCATTAGAAGGTGAAGTTGCAGCAGCCTTCGTTTTGTACATCCTTGACAAGGATCCCATCCCAAATATTTTTCCTCCTTTCATCCCACCCGCTGCCTCCACCCATAATGCCATACTGTCAACCGATGGCTCAGACACAGCAACACCATCACCACCACCACCATCATCACCACCACCATCACCACTAGCAGTGCTCATTAAAAGTTTGTCATATTTTTCCTATATTAACAATATAGATGGAAAGAAAATAAATTCATATATATTACCATAAATATTAAAAACATTCATGATTTTCATTC